TAGCTACGTTCCCATGCATCTATTGATGTTAATGGATGTGATAAATTTAAGTCACAACATGTAGACCTAGAATTCAGGCGTAGGAACTCTTTTAGGACCGATATTGGACTATATCTATGGCTCTACGTGGAACTCTCTTTTCTACTGGTATTTTCTAGGCATTTTCTGAAAATTTCGAAATATGCATTACCAGAAGACAAATCTGCAGAGCAAGGCATCTCTTTCCATTACCAGCGTAAAATCCGAAGTTTATGTTATGTCAGGAACCGGGTTAGTCAACTCCTTGGAGGCTAGGACTGCTGGAAACATGAGGAAAAGACTGTCCCAAGTTACCCCGTAAAATTTCGATTTTTGATAAAATGCAGTCTGGGCCAAAGATGGGAAAACTATAATCAACGGCCTTTTGCGAACGTTTATGATCTAACAGCCCAGAGACACTAATCGGCCAAATTTGCATTTCACTCCTTGCACTAGGGTCAACTTGTCAATGTTTGACATATTTTGTCAAAAACCCTATTATGTAGTCTCCCGTTTCTCAAATACTAATTGTGATGTTGTGCGCCTTTTCTACCTTTCCGCGCGTGCCCTGAGGCCTGGGTGATTCCGTGCGTAGGGGGTCATTTCAGGTCACCGGGGCCTTGCGCCTGAACTGAGGTTGATTTAGTAGCTTGGGCAATTCAAATTTGTTTTACTAAACGAGGACCATGTCCTCATGTGGATAAGTCAATCTAACTTTTGTTTTTCTAGGTTTCGTAAGCTGCTAAAGTGTCGTTTTGTAAGTTCCGTCATGGTCACCAACACCTATAAGACAACATTGCCATGCTGTAGTATATGACTCAGCCACATCAAAAGAAAACTGGCTATTTAACTCTCTTCCCTGACTTATTCTTCGCAAAATTACGGAAGGTGACCTTTGTATCATCACTTGTTGAACCCGAAACAGCCTATGGGAAAATGTCCACCGTGTGACCATGTGACCCATGCTGCTTTCACAACTGACGGTCTACTGGGGTTCCTTTTCGTTTTAGAACCTCGCGACCACTTGGGATCGAAAGAACATAAAAACCCTTCCAGAAGCCCGTGCCCACGGGACCTGGGGCGGTCAAACGACGCTTACAGGCCGTCAGAATTGTTCCAAACGGTAAGGGTGTAAAAATAGATGTAAATTCCGTTTCGGGCCGTAGCTCCTCCATCTGAGGGAGAAAGTTCCCACAGCCTTCGCTGAAAAACGCTATTTTGGATGCTCAAAATGACACCGTCAACAGTTTTTACCTATCTTGTAACCCAGCGGGTCAGGAGACGAAACACTTCGCTTTGTAAATTCCGTAATCCGTAAATTCCGTCATTATTTCTGTAAATTCCGCCGTATCTCATAGGGGGTGAAATTAAAAGTCAAGTTGTAGCGCTGCCACGCTCAGAGGGGTACTGTGGGGTACTATGTATGCCATCTACACCAAATTTAGCCCCTAAAGTTGAACTTTAAAAAAGAACATTTGGTACATCCAAAATGACCCTCTACGCACGGAATCACCCGCCTCTGAAACAAAACCCTGCTGCGGGTTTGACGCTAGGAACCCCCGTCGCTGAATGGCAGCGCCAACAAGCTGTACAGGGCAGACTATCCCAAGTTAGCCCCGTTGACGGGTATGACTTAAATTTAAAAATTGTAGCACCTGGAACCAAGGGAACAGCTTTTCCTTGTTGATCAGGGCGTACCGGAGTATTGTTCCCATATGGGCCAAGTCCAAATTCTGCTTCCCTGAGTTTTGTTGAAGCAGAATTTGGAACCAAGGGAACAGCTTTTCCTTGTTGATCAAGGCGTACCAGAGTTTGGTCCCATATGGGCCAAGTCCCAATTCCGCTTCCCTGAGTTTTGTTGCAAAACTCAGGGAAGCGGAATTGGGACTTGGCCCGTATGGGAACGAAACTCCGGTACTCTGCAAACTCAAGTGTGTGCCAGGCACACACTTCCTGATGCATGCCTGCAGGCACACACTGCCTGATGCATGCCTCAGGCACACACTTGCCGTCGCTTATGCATGCATACAAGCAAGTGTGTGCCTGAGGCATGCACCAGGAAGTGTGTGCCTGCCAGGCATGCACCAGGAAGTGTGTGCCTGCCAGGCATGCACCAGGAAGTGTGTGCCTGCCAGGCATGCACCAGGAAGTGTGTGCCTGGCACACACTTGAGTTTGCAGAGCACGCCTTGATCAACAAGGAAAAGCTGTTCCCTTGGTTTCATGTGCAACACTTTTTGAGTTTTAAGGGGGCACACCAGTGAAAATCGTCGAATTGTGGCCTTCTTTTTTATTTTATCTTACTTTTTCTGCTATTCATCCAAAGTCGAACGCCGCAAACCCCACCCCAAAATTCCAATTACTTTGGCTCGTGCACATTTTTTAAGTTGCTAAAAAGGTAATTATTTTAGCATATTTTAGACCAATTGTTAACGTTCAGGTTTTTCACTTAAAGTTCAATTACAAAAACCTTGAACCACCCAAATGCAGTTGAGGAAAGTAACATTTTGGCGCAAACCGAACTAAAATACGTCAAAAGGCGCATTTATAATCCGAATAATCCGAGTAGCTATACACATCGGCAACTTTGGCTCGTCCCGTGCGTGAAGAAATGTGCGAATTTCACCTTTGTTTAACCCCAACGAGGTTTGATCCTGCGTCTGGGGTCAAATTAGATGTTATTTTCGTCATCAGCGCACTCAAAAACATCAAAAACAATGCGAAAACTTGAATAAAAAGAATGTTTTAAGTATGCCCCACTGGGATTTAAACCCTGGTCCAAACTGCTTCGATTCGCTCGAAACCAGCACAGTTTACTTTGTCTCATCGCCCTAATTCCAAAAATCCCCTTACATGCCCTTCTAGCTGTATCCGTTGCCGAAATCCTCCTCGCCCCCATGTAGACCATGGTGCGCCCGCAGCAGCGCCCCCGGGGCTCGGATCGGAGAAGCTGCCAGCTGGTTGTTAAAGATACCCGAAGAGGCTGCTTTCGAATTTGGTCAAGATTGGACCAGGGGAAGTCCTCGGATGGACGAACGGACGGACGTACAGCAAGCATCATACTATATGCCCGTCCCTTCGTCATTTTTTTTTACAAAAAAAATAAACGGGACGGGCCAAAAACATGTCAAATCTATGTTTCTTCTAAAAGGGCTTTTACTCAAAACACCTTTTTGGTACCTTTGTGCCACTCTCACGGGCGCAAAAATTGAGATAATTTGATGCGGTTTGCGGCAAAATGAGCCTTACACTTGCGGCTATGGTCGTAACCTCGGAAATTGCCATCCCATAAATAGGACGTGAGCAGCAGCCATGAAGCGTAAAAAATTTGGTTAAAAAATTTGCTTCTATTTCGATGGCTCCTATGATCAAAGACAGATCTGCATCGCGTCCCGCCAACAAAGACAGAAGTGTTTGAGGGTGTGCCAACAAAGACAGATCTGCTTTTAGGCTAGGAGCGCTGCTTCCTCTTTCTTCCTTCCTTACGCACATTTAACTGCCGAAAGTGTAATTCGATTTGTTGTTTGTATTTGTGAATAAGAATGAGAAAATGTCATGCCGAAAATGAGATCTCTAACACAGGGGCTGCATCGTTGGTTTAAAGTCGGGACACAGGACGACTCCGAAACGCAGATCTGTCTTTGTTGGCGCACCCTCAAAAACTTCTGCCTTTGTTGGCGGGACGCGATGCACATCTGTCTTTATTCATAGGAGCCATCGATTTTTACCTTTTGAAAACACAAATTCAAAATCATTCTATTTGCACGACCGTGGTTCAGACCATAGCCACATGTGTCCTGGTGAGAGATTTTCAAATCCCGTGCTCGAGGCTCAATCCAGAGAGGCGGAATCGTGGCTGGAGTAAAGCAAGGTCGCAGAAAAATGAAGTGCACTGGCGGCCCGTCTTGCCATCGCCACACCGCCCTCCCCTACTGATTTTTCTTTGATTTGATAATATTTTGAGCCAAGAATAAAATATCAATCGGATATTTAGTTTACTTTTATCAGAATAGTCGTTTTTTGAAACCTCTGCATTTTCACTGGTGTGCTCCCTTAATCAGAAGTGCAAACTGTTGTCGGAACGGCCCTGGTATCGTTTCGGTTTGGGTATCGTCCCTGATTTACATCAAGTCAAAATCAACTTGTAAAATGTATGCAAGTTATAGTATTCCGAAATTTCAAGGTCGGGTTCGCAGCATTCAACTCGACATAAAAGGCAGAAAAAAGAGTAAAATTAAAAAAAAAACCTAAAATTTGAGGATTTTTACTGGTGTGCCCCAGTGTTCTCAAACGGGCGGTCCGGCTCGGCCCGCCGCCTCGGCTGTGCGAGTGAGAGCGACAATGCTGGGCCGTGGCGCTTCGGCGAGCAGTCGGGCCGAGCCGAACATCCAAGCTCCCGAGGTCTCCCGAAGCGGGTGGGCGGCCTCGGCCCATGGGCCGGGGCACGGCCCATGGGTCTTGGCTCCACCGCCGGCCGCCGGCGCTGGCGCTGGCGAGCCCATGCTCCCCTTCCACCGCTTCTCTCTCGCTCCCTACGTCACGTCACCCACCCGCGCTCCGCCGGCGTGGCGCGCTTGTTTAAAAGGGAATTCCCTTATGCGCAACGCCAGAAGCACCATCAAATTCACTTAGTTTTCAAACTGATACACGATGAAGATGCGTTTCCATGGTTCGGTATCGGTATACACACTACGGGCTACACAGACCATTGTTATTTTGCGTCGCGTCACAACTTCCGATTTTCGCGCACCCATGGCGCAGCGCTGCAGTCACCAATTTCTTGGTGACGTGACGTTACAGCCAGCCAATCCGAGCCAAGCCAGCCAAAGCGAACGGAGCTGCAGCGCTGCCGGCGCCGGCTGCCGCTGCGAGACAGTGTAGCGGTCAGTAGCAGAGTCAGTCGTCAGTCCGTCGCGCCGCTTCGTTTGCCGATCGCAGTGTATTATTGTTTGTGTCTGTCTGGCCCTACGGCGCCGCCAAGCCATGAAGAGGAAAAGAGCTCAAGTTCCTGTGCAAGGTGAATGTGGCCCCGGCCCTGGCCCTGGCCTTGGCCTCGGCCCCATCAACGTGGAGATACCCGCCGCCCAGCCCGACTTGCCCCCCGTCCCCGCCCTTGTTGTGCCTCTCGCCGCCGTCGCGCAGCCGCCGCTCGTGTCGCCGACCCCATCAACCTCGTCGTCCGAAGCCTCTGCCTCGACACCAAGAGACCTGATCAAGGAGACTGAGGAGAAGCTGGCGTCAGGGGAGTGGAAGACGCGGCCCAAGGAGCTGGCCAACGGCAAGCCGACGAAGAGCCCGGCGTGGGACGGCTTCCACGTGGTCGTGTGGCGGGACAACACCAAGATAGAGGCAGGGACGGCAGTGTGTCTCGCGTGCGGGGCGGTGCTCATATCGTCTGGTGGACCGTCCTCGCTCAAGAAACATGTGGAGAAGTATTGCTCAGGCCAGTTGCACTCCGCGAGCAGCGCTCCGGGCCAAGGCTTCCGGCCGGTGTCGGCGCAACTCCGCGACGTGTTTATCGACAAGGTGGCGGACACGTGCGCCGAGAGCATGGGCGCCGTCCACCTGATCACGAGCGAGGCCGTCGTGGACCTCATGCAGACGGTGGCCGACATTGCGGCACGCTGCAAGGGCCGCATCGATGTGCGAAACATTATGCCCCAAGCCAACACGGTCATGAACCGCATCGACTCGAGGGCGAAGAAGTTCGTGCAGGAGCTGGTGCCGCGCGTGAAGAAAGCCATCGAGGACATGCGTTGCCAGGCCGCGACCGACATGTGGACGGACGACAACGAGAAGAAGCACTTCATCGCCATCACCGTGGCGTTCGTCGACGAGACGGGCAAGGCCTCAGAGACGCACGACTTGGTGGTGGCGCAGTTTCCGTCTGCAATGAAGGCGACCGGGAGCAACATCCTCAAGGCCATGTATGATGCCATGGAGGAGATAGGCATCACACGGGAGGAATTCCGCCGCATTGATTGGATTACCGACAGGGGTGCCAACATCAAGAAGGCACTAGAGGACCTCTCCAAGTAAATACAGTGAAAATCTTGGATTGGAAGGAGTGGGTGTGAAGGGCGGGGCGGGGCGGGGACAGGAGTAGGGGTCCGAAACGGGGAGAGGGGGGGGGGCGCTTGGAGGCCCGGGGGGGGGGACCACTTTGAACACTGTAATTTAACGATTTTTTTTTACATTTTTTACAGGGAAGACTGCGCAGCGCACCAGATCAATACGTGTGTCCGGAGCACCTTCACTGTCCCCTTTTACGAGCTGAGGCAGAAGGCCATGGAGGCATTGAGCCCAGCCGGAAAGAAGCTGCTGCAGGACAGTGAAAATGTAGTGAGGGCAGTCAAGGCAGCAAAGCCCGACCTGATTGTGCCAGGAGTGGCCTTGAGGGAGCTGAAGAAGGCCCTTCCACTGCCCCAACAGCAGTTCTCCTCCAACAACTGCAAAATGCTGCAATCGTTGCAGTCGCACAAGAAAAAGGTAAGCTACATGCATTTTCACATTTCTCTTCAAAAAAATTTCGGTTTTTAAACTAAATATTTTATTGCAGGTCCTTGCTGTTCTTGCCGCCCTTGGTCGGCAGGACCTCATCGAGGTCCTCAACGAAGGCGACGCCTCAGACCTGATCGGTTTCCTCGGCCCTCTTGAGAAGAAGGGCAGCGTGGCAGCTGGTGAGCTGGCCTCACTGAGGGCCCACCTTGCCGCCAAGCCAGAGGACACCGAGGAAGTCGCGGCCATGAAGAGCAGCGTCGCCGAGTTGCGGGACCTGATGGAGGTCCTGATCTTGATCAAAGAGGCCAAGGAATTGGTCACTTACTTGAAGGCTTCGGGGCTAGCCTCCTCTCTCTCAAGAAAGGTCATTCAAGAATGTGAAACTCGTTGGAACTCGATGCATTCCATGCTCGCATCTGTAGACCTCATGTATGACGAGGTAAGTTGCACGTCGCGCATGCAAAGCCCACGACACCACCCCGCGGCCGCCGTTGCGCGTCTCGCGACGCTTCCACAGCCAGGCGCTCCAAACCGTGTCCCGCCGTGCCACCCCCGCCGTGCCACCCCCGCCGTGCCGCCCCCGCCATGCCGGTGCCGCCACCCTCGCCGAGACCGAGCCACCCTGGCCGCGCCGCCGCCGAGTCACAGGCTGCGAGCTGCCTCCGCCGCGCCGCCCCCGCCGTGCCGTCCCCGCCATGCCGGTGCCGCCACCCTCGCCGAGACCGAGCCACCCTGGCCGCGCCGCCGCCGAGTCACAGGCTGCGAGCTGCCCCCCCCCGCACAGTGGGCCACGAACCCGGGTTTAGGCGGACATAATTCTCCTAGGCCGTACCAATCGTTATTTTGGCGTGTAACTTCGTAGTGGGGGGGTTTTTTTGAGGGGCGAGGAATCCTTTTTTAGACAATATCAGCCCCCCAGTGTGAAATTTGACATCATCTGATAAAAAGGGGGACCTGTTACCCCCAAAATTAAACAACGAAAAAACCCTAAACAAGCATACTCGCGTTGAAGAAAAACTCTGACATGCACAACTCTAATCATTACAAGCAACTACTATGCAGCGGCCCCTCCGTTGCGCCGGGAAGGGGTTGCGCTGCGCGGGGTGTTTTTCGCATTTTCGGCGATGTTTGGGAGACCCTACAACTAAAAGGGCAAGTAGGTGCAGCTAAATTCTTTTGGGTTTTGTTCCTTGGCATGTTGGCTTCCGCAAGGACTGAAGGAGGCCGTTAAACAACGTTAAAAAAAAAAAGTGCCGCCTCTGCAAAGTTTTAAATTTTTGAAAATTTTTGTCAAAGCGTAGTAAAAATAAAGCTGGACACCACAAAAATCGTCCAAAGTCAAATGAAAATGTATGTAAATTTTCGTAAAAAAACGCCCTTTCACGTGGTGCCAAAAAAAAGTATGCTGGACAAAAATTAATAAGTGTTTTTTGCTTTTGGGAAAATCATGCATATTTACTGCACCAAAGTAGCGCAAATCGTTTGGTGCGTGTTTGACCCCTGTATGTTGGCTATAAAAGTGTCCCTGTGTTGAAATTCCGTCCAATCCTGGTTTCCCTTTGGGGTATTGGGGAAAGTTATCACGAAAAAAAACTTAAAGATTCGAGAGTTGAAAAAATGGAATTATGTCCGCCTAAACAGGCTTCCTGGCCCACTGTGCGCCGTGCCGCCCCCCCCTGCCACCCCCGGGCCCCCCGTGCCACCCCCGCCCGCCGTGCCACCCCCGCCCGCCGTGCCGCTCCCGCCCCCGCCGTGGCCGTGGCGCCACCCACATGACGCGCCTCGCGCAGCGCCAAAGACCGAACCGCCCTCGCCGTCACATATTTAAACCTTTAATTTTATTTGCAGATTGTGGAGTTGCTGTCTCTCCAAGAAGGGCAGGAGACACGGATGGAGAAGATCGACAGGGAGATGCTACAGTGGCTCATTAGTTTCCTTCAAGAGTTTAAGGAGGAAACTAAAACTCTTGAAGGAGACAACAGGAACCACCCCACTCTCCCGTACGTCCTTCTCGTGTCTACTGGCCTCAGGGACCACTGCCTGCCCTCTCCTGATGACAGCCATCACCTTGCTGTCATCAAGGAGAGGTGCTTGGTGTTCCTTGGAGCGAAGTTTCAGCCCAGCATGAAGGCCAAGGTCGCAAATTTTTTGTGGCCTGACTTCAAGGAACTATCGATGCTGCCTGAGGAGGAGAAGGAGGAGGTAATTTGGCCCATCTAAGTGTCTCGTCAATCCGAGAGTCAAAAATGCATTGCTTTTATTTTATTCTTTTTGCGCAGGTCAAGGCCCATGTCCGATCTCTGATTGATGGCGATGCTGATGGCGGCACGGGCGCTGTGAACCCCGATGACACCGACACCCCTCCATCCCCTCCGAAGGCCAGGCGCCTCGACACGAAGTACAATCGTTACCGTCAGGCCGCCATCCCCAACACACCGCAGGATGAGGTGTCCAGGTACCTGGCCACGAATGTGGCTCCAGTACCAGCTGAACTCCTCCTGGAGCACTGGAGACTATTGGTGAGTTTTTGCAAGCTGCCGAACATGCTAACCTAAATGTTCCGATTCTAACCCCCCCCCCTTTTTTTCACAGGACCGACCAGACGGTTTCCCAAAGTTGGCCAAATTAGCCCTGCGAGAGCTGGGAAAACTGGCCACTGCCGCAACAAGCGAGAGAGTGTGGTCCAAGGCGGGCTTTATTTTGAACTCGAGGAGAAACAGGCTGAGTGCTGGACACCTTAGCTCCATGGTCTTTTTGGCCTCTTACCTAAGATTCCTTAGAAGGAAAAATAAATAAAATTTATGTTACAATCTAAACTGCATATTATTTAATACATATGTTCCTTCAAGTTATTGACCCCCCCCCCCCCCCACACACACACACACACACCTCGCCCCTATCGGTAGGGAGCAGGAGCGAAGCGGAGCGAGCGGGCCTGCCTCCCCAGTGCCGCGTCCCATGACACGTTTGAACGACGCGCGCGCATTCTCAAACGTGCGTCAGCCGGCCGGGCCCTGCTGAGCCGGAGCCGGGCGTCCGTCGGCGTCGGCCAGGCCGGGCCTGGCCGGGCCATGCCGAGCCGGACAACGGCGACGCAACGCAGCGCCACGCCACGCCACTCCCTAGATCTAAGCGGCGGGCCGGAGCGGGCCGTGAGACGGCCCATGCCAAAAGACGGGCCGGGCCGCCGCCCGGCCCATGCTCAAGTCGCCGGGCCGGGCCGGGTTCTAGCGCGACAGAGGCTAGGGACGCCGTGGGCCGAGCCGGACCGCCCGTTTGAGAACACTGGTGTGCCCCCTTAAGATGAAATATCGAAGTAACCGATGGTGCATGTAGAAATATATTCCGCTTACTGTCGTATGCGTCCCAAATGGTCAAACTGAGTTAAAGTCGTTTGCGTTTAAGATAAGATTGTCTTGGGGTGACTCCCAGATAAGATCTTTCAAGTAGGACCCCTCAACAAAGGGATTTTGGCCGAATTTTGACGAAACTTCACTGTCAGAAAAAAAGTCGTAATATTACGAACCATTCTTGCATAGTATTTTCCCACATTATATTTATAATTTTACGAATAATTTCATGACGAATGATTAATTTTTTTAATGAAACGCTCATTATTTTATGAATGCTTCGTTCGAAAAATGAATAACTCATAAACATCCAAAAACGAATGTTTCATTCCACAATTTTTACGTTACAGCATCACAAGCCATTCGTAGTTTTACGAATGTTTCATGTTGTTCTATGAATACTTCATAATTTTACGAATCATTCATAAATTTATGAATGTTTCGTAGATTTTTGTACGAGCCATTCTTGTATAGTATTTTCCCATAGAAAAATCGTAAATTTAGTAATAATTCAACGATGAATGGTTCATTATTTTATGAGTGGTTCATAAAATCTGAATACCTTTCGGGCATTTTCAAGCACTTTTTTCAACAAAATTATGAACGGTTCATTATAGTTCATTTATGACTTTTTCATTGTGACCATGAAACGAGCCATTCTTATAATTACGAAGCATTCATCGCTAAATATGTCGTAAATTTACGACAACTTTTTTCAGTGTTTCGTGCATCACCGTTTCAAAGGCTGGATTGTCCGCAAGGCTGTCTGTAAGGTACTAAAAGTATCACCGTTGGATTTACAGTGGAAACAGTTTCGAGCGGCCAGAATAATAACTTAGCATGTCCAGAAGTCTTAAGTTAAGCGTTATGATGCCCTTTTGATGTAAGTTAAGGATCCCTGCTTTCATGCTCGCGGGCTGGGTGTCGGCGGCTTACCCGAACTTAGCGAAGTTGGCCACCATGCGCGTCCACCGGTCCCTGACCAGCAGGTCCACGTCGCCTGGTCGAATGTCCTCGGCTGGCATCATGTCCACGGGGAACAGGTAGCCCAGCTCATCACCGTGCGAGACACCTGCAGCAAGAGCAAATCAACAAAATGGTGACATTGAAAATCAAAAAATTTTGCTCCGGTACTACTTTTGGTCAATGCGCATTTCTTTCGACAAATTTGGTTAACGGATGGGCTCATTTGGAGATGAATTCAATGGGGTCCAAATTTGGCTGAGGAATCCTACAGTGTCCTAATTAACACTGGTTTTCTAAAAGTATAGTGAACTCGTTTCAAAATCAATAACATTCTTTTTGCATCATAAGCGCCACAAAAGATTTATTGCATTAAAAGTGCGATAAATATTGTAGTCGGAAGAGGTCACGGGAGCGCATTGCATGAATTCAAAAAAACTGGCTCTACATGTAAGTTATGCACAAATGTGTACACAAAGGGTGGGCCACTAAAACAAGGTAGGTGTACGCCAGACAGTAGCATGTCATGGACAATATTCAAAATGTGTATTGCTTCACAATACCAGGCCATTCAGAACAAAAAGTGCAACTGGACTTGTTAGCTAACATACAAAGAGCTAGTCTAATTAATACGTGAAACGCCTTCCAATGACACCTGCCGATTTTGACCATAATTTTTATCTAAGATGCCGTATGGTAAGAAAAAACATGTTTTAGAATGTTTCCTAAAATATGAGGTCGCCAAAAAATTTACTGGCCGAGAAAACAGATGTTCTCGAATTTGCCATATTTTTACCTAATTTGAGAGTTTCTTAACTTCTCTGAGGTTTTTGGTGCTACGTGGCTGAAAATTGGACTTAATGCGTAAAATTGTCGAAGGAACTAGAATATGGTCACAGATTTGACCTCTAACCAATATCTTGAGAAATATTTAAAAAAAAAAACGACCAATTTTTAACGGAAATACTCAAATCTTGAGAAAATGGTCAAAAATGATTTTTTCCCCACAATCCGTTGACACAGTATCGTGAAAAAAGAGCCGATAAAGCCAATGAGCACACGCCCAGGTTCCTATCTCAAACCATTTAGAAGCTGTAAGGCGTCAGAGTTGGAGCAACTTTGAGGGGGTCTAAAAAGCGTCACTCCGAAAAAAAGGTCCAGTTAAAAGTACCAGACTGTTCCTAGCTGAACGAGCACTGGTAATAATAACCAAAAACCTTCTATTTTTTACCAGATTTTCAGTTATATCTACCAGCATGGGTATGGTAACATTAACCAGACGTCTAGTTAATATTCCTAGTAATTTTAACTATACTGCTTAGTAACTTTCGTCAAATTTAAAATGGCAACGGACTAAATTTTACCAATGCGTCTTAAATCCCTTTGGTTCCCTGCAATCTCCAAAGCAACGTTTTGTTGCAGGAAATGCGACTCTTGGCTAAACGATGCGCAGTGCGATCGGGGCGGGACGCGTATTTCCAAACCCTCCTGGCTCCAGAACAGTATGAGAATTTCAGCATGCCGCGCACTCCTGGCTATTCCTCCGAGTCAAACTGAAGATGTTTTAACTTTGTGAACCTCCGTGCGTACCAAATACACTATTTGGTTCCCCAAATTTACACACTGTGTCCCAAAATATCATAAAATGTCACATCAGGTGAAAAAAATGCGAAATATCATTTTCCAAAATAATTGCGGCATCATAATTGTATTTGGTACTTTGCTTGCTATAAGGTTTACTTCAACCCAAAGGTAAGCCAACCAACTCCCTTTACACTCTCAGAGCCATACTGACATTTTTGTCTGTACTTTTACTTAAAAATTATTTCTATGTAATTTATGAACAATTTTTTAGGTATCTTACTGATAAAAATCTATGTGTAACGTATTGACAATTTGTATGTTAGCCTCACTAACAAATCTGTCACTAGTTATTTAAAAGAAGTATGGATGCCTTCTGGGACTAATTTGTTAGTGCCTACTAAGAGATTTTGTCAGTAGTAAGAAAGAAACGGAGTCAGTAGTAACTAATAAATAAAGTCAGTACATACAAATAAAATTCTATGTACATGATCAATATTTGTCGCAGACATTACAAATATTTTTATGGACTTGCAATACTTGTCGCTGACTAACAAGTGGTCCAACAAGCTATCCGTTCCAAAATAAATCTTGTCGCTGAAAAAATTAGCATTAAAAGTGTTGTTTAGTAACGACAAAAGTTTTGTCAGTGATTTTTCTGGTAATTTTTTATTAACAATTTTATCAACAAATTTGTTAGTAATGTACTAAAATTATTGTCTATGGAATTGTACATAAAGCATAGACCTTTTATTCGTGGCATATGAACAAATTTCTAAGTATTATTGTTGCGTAAAAAAATTTATATGCTACTTAGGAAATGTTGCTGCTGCTATGAACAAAAAGTCAATATGGCTCTGAGTCTGAGAGTGTAGTTTCTGAATAATTGATGTTTATGTAACAAATTAAGTCGTTGGCCGTAAGTCTCCTTGCAAAGGACCAAAAGTTGTCGAGACCCAAATATTTTTTTACAAGTTCTTACCAAATACCTGCATACCAAACACACTATTTGCTACCCCAAATTTACACAGTGTGTCCCAAAATACCATAACAGGTTATTTAACATTACATTGTGGCATAATGAACACGGGTCATTCCATGGGGGTTCGACATACTTTTGCAAGTGATCTCTCCGATTCCGATGAAACTTTGCGAGCTTGTTGGCTATGGTCTGAAAGCCCCCAAAACCAATTTTGAGCAAAAAATACCGATTTTTGAAAAAGTTATGGCTTGCGTTAGAAATTTTGATTTTCGATGCAGATCTTTTTTGAAAACGCTGTAGTTTCTTCAAAACTGAAGCTACAGAGCTCATTCTGGGCGCATTAGAAAGGTATTGAATTAAACTTTAAGCCTATTGCAGCATTTTGACAAAAATGTTCAAAATTTGACATACATTGAACAAAGTCAAAATTTTGAACACAATTTTCTCAAAAGTAGTATTTTTGATTTTTTTCTTTTTTGATATGTTATAGTCCATACTTTAGTCTAGCAACCCTCAAAATTTGGTTTGAAAAAATTCATAAACAAGGAAGAAAGACGGTTTTTAGTGTTGCGATTCGGCAAATTTTCGCTAGTTGGAGTGGTGAGGAGAGCAGCATGATGCACATTTGAGACCGCAGGTTGTCGATCTCGAACCTCTAGTGTCACTTGGAACAGTTTTTTGGGGTGCTGAACTTAAAAATTAGATCAGTTTTCGTTTTCAAAATTCCCAGGGGCGGATCAAGGGGGGTGACTTTTCAAAAATCAGGATTTTCGGATGTTGCAACGCGATTTCTATGTTTTTTGGGGTGGAGATATCGAATCTTGAACGATGTTGAATGCAAGTTGGCCCTAAAGCTGATCTGACGTATCGTTAGAACATAAAAGTGTGCAAATAGAAGATCAAAATAGCCCCCAAATGTGAACAACTTTGGCCCGTTGCAAAAAGTA